GGCAGACGGCCCAGCGCCCCTGGTCGAGCCACCCGGCCGGCACCTCCTCGAAGCTCTCGTCGATGGCCCAGGCGCCGTCCGATGCCTCCTCGGGCGCCGAAGGGCGCCATGGCCCGGAGCCGCTGTCGTCGACGAAGCCCGCATGCCGCATAGCACGCTGCCGCGGCGCCAGCTCCAGGTCGAGGCGGAAGCGGCTCCGCTCGGCCACGCGCCCGACCCGAGCGACCTCCCTGACGTCTACCATAGTGGAGGCGACGCCGAAGCCGCTCTCGGACGCGTCCGACGCCGTGACACACCGGTTCCAGGGCAACGCCCAGTCGCTGCTGAGGAAGACGAGGAGGCCCCGGAAGCAGCTGAGCTCCTCGCGGACGGACGCCCACATCACTTGCCGCTCCCAGTAGTTGGCCTGCACGAAGGCGTAGCAGGCGGAGAAGACGCAGAGCACCTCTCGCCTCACCAGCCCAGCATACGTGCAGTGGCCCAGGAGGCACTCCAAATCCTGGCCCGAGAGTCTGCCTCGTTGCAGCGCGTAGGCCAGGGCCCTCTCCAAGCGGCAGCGCCGCTTGCTGGTGATGGAGGTGCAGAGGCGCTCGCAGTCCACGACGACGCCGAGCGCCGACCCCTTCCCCTCGAAGAACTCCACCTCGTGGATGTCGAGCTTCATCTTGTTGAAGGCCGCCACCTTCTCGTCCAGCGCCCTCTTGACTGAGCTCGCGTCCTGCCCCAGCGCGCCCAGGTTGTCCACGTGCACGTAGTGCCAGAGGTCCTGCTCGCGAGCCCCGCCCACTCTGAACACCATGGGCTCGCCGCGGTCGGTCGCAAGCCGCGCCTCCCGCAGCAGGTCGCACTGCCTCGCCAGGTTTGCGTTGGCGTTCTGGCAGAAGTACAACGACCACGAGCATCCCATAGGCAGGGCTCGGCAGCAAGGGTACACCATCTCATCGCCGCTCGCCACGCGGCCCTCCACAGTCTCCACTGAGTCTAGGCGGAGCTCGCTGACGGTCAGGGCGGGGAAGGCGAAGAGGGGGCTCATCCAGGGCGGCATCACCATCCTGTGAAAGCAATTCTCCACGTCGCCGACGCCGAGGCACAGGCGGAGCGCCCGCAGGATGCCCCAGCTCGAGTCCTTCAGCGGGCACGGGTCGCCGTCCACGGCGACCTCGAGGCGCGAGAGGCCCTCCGCCGTCAGCAGGTCTACCCGAGGTGGAGGTAGTAGCCGCTGGTTGGTAGGGCGCGCATCTGTAATCATCCGCATCTTCTGTCTACCCTTCTTCCAGACGAAAAAGGCTCCGACAAATTCAACGGGCTCCGACGTATATCGCAGCATGCCACTGGAATGCAACCTCTTCATGAATCGAACCAGTAGTCGCCTACTCTTTGTGAACGCTGGGTCCAGGTGAGGCCGCACTGGATCGCTCTGTCGGAGGCGTTCAAAATCTGGGACACTTCGTAGCATCCGCTCTCCACGACCCTCCAGAAAACGTAGGCCCTCTGCGTCGAGAAGCCGCTCCAGGCGCGGGGCGTCCTGGGTGCTCTCCGGCAATGACACGAGCCCGAGCTGGAAGGGAGCCATGTTCGGCTGGCCCGGCTCCTCGTAGGACCCGCGACCTCGGAGCAGCTCTAGATAGGCCGCTCTCGGCGAAGGCGCGTCAGGCACCGGCTCCTGGGCTCGTACCAGTCCATCGACGCGCGCAGTCACTTCGCTGTGGATGTCCGTGCCGCCACCGCTGCCGGCTGCAGGCGAGCCGGCCGCCTTTGCCAACCAGTTCAGGGCGTCAATCGCCCTGTTGACCAGTCGTGCGTGCAGATAGCGACCTCGCAGCCCGCGGCTAAGACGACCGCCTCCACGTGCTGCATGTCGCTCCTCCAGCCGCGGTAATGGGAACAAATGGCGTTCTCCGCGAGAGGCTGGAAGGCGCCCAGCACCGGGCCAAGTCAGCTGCGCGCCGAGGGGGGGCCCATTCCCCTCGGCGATCTCCTCGCTCATGATTTCTCGGCGGCCGCGGGGTTCCCGGCCTTGGGCAGTGCGCCCCTGCCACGACCGCGACCGCCGTCACCGCGTCCTCGTCCACGGCCCCTCGGCCCTTCGCCGGCTGTGCCCTCGAGCGCGTCGTCGCCGCCGGCTCCACTGCCACCTCCAGGGAGGCCGCGAACCCGCGCGGCCCCCGTCTCCATGTCGATCTCCTCCTTCGCTCGCTTCGCCCCGTACTGCCGCAGCTCGGGCGCGATGGCGTCCACCGCCGCGGTCACTCCACTGTAGAAGCGAGCCATCTGCCAGTTCGGGGCTCGCCCAGGGATCCTGTACGCGTCTAGGATGGTCTGGAACCTTCGCGCCAACACCTCGAAGCTGGCCAGCGCGGGGACATTCAGCTGGTCGAAGGTAGAGGCGTAGAACATCATGTCCACGAGACAGTTCAGCTCGTGCATCACTCGATCATTCACGTTCACCTGCTTTGTGCGAGCCCACAGCTGCAGCCACAAACGCGGGTCGCCCCCCGTCCTCTCGACGTGCTTCATCACCTGCAGGTACGTCGACGGGCCTTCGAGGGGCCAGTGCTGGTCAGGCACGTGGAAGCTCTCCTGCACCGCCTTGCGGTATGGCTTGTACCTCTCGCCCTGCTCATCGTAGTCGATCCACAGTGTGCGAGCGTCCTCCGCCACTGGAGGCGGCGTGGCTGTGCCGCCGACGGCGTCCGCACCCTCGGGCGCCTCGGCCGACGGCCCAGGCGGCGGTCCAGGGGGCGGAACCAGCGGAGCTGCCCCAGCTGGCCTCAGCTGATCGGCCAGCTCCTCTCGGCGGGCTCGCACGAACTCGTCCACCTCCGTGAGAGGGACGAGCTCGGCCCGGCGGCCCTGCCCCCGGCGGAGGATCATCGCGTCGTAGTCCGAGAGCCTGAAGTCATCTGGCCCCAGCACCACCTCGTCCCCCAGGTTGCCAGCGCGGCCGCTCTCCGCGAGCACCCACGCGTGACCACGCGGCGTGTCCAGCGGCCCCGCCTGGGGATACCCTGGGCTGGCGCCGTCGCCGGCAGCGCCCAGCGCAGGGGCGGCACCCGCGTCGGAGCCGGCAGCCGCGTCGCCAGGGGGCCCGTTGTCGGCCCCGGCCGCTGCCGCCGCTGCGCCGCGGCGCAAGGGGAGGCGGCGAGGCAGGAAGCGGCCGCCGAACAGGGTGTCGAGCGGCACCACCTCACGATCGGGCATCACCACGTCCGCGACCTTGATCGGTGGGTCACCCGCCGCAGCTCCGTCCTGCAGGGCCAGACGTCGGCCCTCGCGGATGTAACCCTTCAGGGCGTCCAGGTCGAGCGCCTCCTTGAACCTGTAGGCGGGCTTGTCGAGCCGAGGAAGACGCCCGTCGGGGCGCAGGCCGACGATCCGCACCACGCCGTCGACGCCCTCGCTGCCGTCCAGCATCTCCGAATACATGTCATAGTCTGGGGTCAGGATGACCCACCTGGCGTGCGTCTGCGGCCACAAAGCCACCCGCTCGTGGTACACATCGTCCCCATCGTACCAGGCCAGGTAGTGCCTACCTGGCAGGAGGCGCCTCAAGAACTCCGCCTCCGCGCCGAGCCCAACGAGCGCCATGGCCTCTGCCGCGTCCGAGGAGCCTGCGCCCCACGCTCGTCACCCAGCCGATGCCCGTCTGCACCGCCCAGGTGACCGCGGCGATGATCAGCACCTCCTCCCTGCTGAGCTCCGTCGGCGGGCAGGCCACCGGCTCCGGGCACACGCACGCGGGCGCCGCTGGGCACACACAGGGCGGCGCCTCCGCGCACGTCTCCGGGCAGATCGGCGGCTCCGGGGCAACGGGGCAGGCCTGCCTCCGCGTGCCCAGCGCGAGCAGACCCGCGGCTATCGGGCCACTGAGGATCTGCGGGAGGGACACGGGCCGCATGCAGCTCGAGGCCGCAGGTCGAAGAGAAACCACTCAGCCAAAACAGAGCAGCTACAGAGAAGCTGTTCGACACCGCAGTGCGATTTCCCAAAACAGTGCAAGCACGACGGAGCAAAGACCCCCGCGGGGCGAAGCGCGATTATCCACGCGCCCACGCACCGAGAGGGTTGGGGTCCACGACAGGGCCCGCTATTTTACATCATTCATGTGCACGCACCCCCATGATAAACAGTAATACTAACGATAATGCGTGTGATGGCTGTGCAAAACCGAGGCGGATCGCGGAACACTCGGGACACTGGGTGGTCCTGGAGATCTGGCGGCCGATGTATGTAGGGCGGGTGGTACTACTAAAAGGGCAGGCGGAAGGCGGGATACTCGGGATAGTGGGTGGCCGTGGGGATCTGGCGGCCACGGTATGCAAGGTGGGCGAATCGGGAACTCCGTTCTTAAAGTCTGACAAACGACCCGCTACGACCCTCTTTGACCCTCGAACCTGCCGGGTGGGGAACAACGACCTTTGTCGACATCGTTCGTCGTCGTTGTACTCGCGTCCGTCGCCGCCATCTTGTCGCCAACGAAGAGAGCGACGTGAACGCAATGCAATCGTAGAAGAAAACGACGTGGAAGCCGAAGAAAATCACGTCGACGGAAACTCGAAAAGAAGAGGTCGACGTCGACGTCGTTGTAGTTTTCTCACGACGTCGGGCGTTTGCCCCTCGGAGATCTCCGGATGACCCAGAAGGCTCTGGATGCCAACATATGGCCAGGGACAGACACAGACAGAGACGTCAAAAAACCGCGGCTCCCTGACGACCACAACAACCGAGATAATAAAGAAGACGAGGACCACGACGACGAAGACAACCTCGACGACCACGATAGCTACGGCGATCACGAGGACAACGCCGAGCTCCACGACGACGACGACGACGAAGACGACCTGGACCTCCACGACGGTGCTGATCTCAACGACGACGACGACGACGACCAGGACCACAACCTCCACGGCGACGGTGCTCCACGGCGACGGTGCCCACGACAACGACGAACACGCCAACGCAGACGGTAACCGCGCGAGGGCTGGCGGGGCGGGGCGAGCCTCCCGCAGGGCCTGCCTGATGGTCATACGCCTGCGGCGGGCTGTCCCGCCGCCGCGAGAGGGCCGCCGCCGGGTGCCCGATTGGCGACGACGGCCACCAGCGCGACGGCGGCCATCGCCGGCGACCAACGCCGAGGATCCCGTTGAGGACCGAGGATCGATCGAAGGTCGAACGCTCTGGGCGCCCCACGTCGATCGCGGATCGAGGATCCGTCGTGGATGGATCGCGGATCGAAGATCCTTCGTGGATCGTGGATCGGATGAAAATGGATCGATCAACGTTGACGGCAACGACGACGACCGCCAGGCAGGTTTGGGCTGTCAGATCTGAGAAGAGGATCTCCCAGCCTGCCTCACACGCCCTGCACCGCTCGCTCGGCCACATGGAGAAACGTAGTCCCTGGGTATCCCGCCTGTTGTCTTCGACGGATGACGGCTGCGTACCTTGGACGCCAGGTCCCTAAGGAGGCTTGGGGTTCCCAGAGTATCCGGCCTCGCGGCATTCGGTCGAAGAAACATGTGACCTCCGCTGTTTGTGCAGGTCGGGGGTGCAGCAAAAGTTGACGAATGCGCGGCTCGTGGCCCACTCTTGCACTCCTGGTCTCTCGGGGCTTCCGTTTGCGCCAGAGTAGGGCGATTCTGTTCTGAGGACGCGGTGCCCCTCCTGTCGTCTGTCATCGCCGACCTGCCTGTCCGTCCTGTCTGCTTGTCCCGTCGTCTGTCTGGTCTTTTATCCGTAGCCTCTCTGGCTCAAGCAAGCCGCAGCGGCGCGCTGCGGGGTGTTGGGGCGGAGCCTCGCTCCTCCCTCCCGCCCCCCTCCTCACCTCGGCGGCGCGCAGAGAGGGGTTAGGGGAGGCGGGAAGGCTTCTTAGAGGGGGACTGCGTCTTAGAGGGCGCTGGCTTCACATTTATAGAGAAGGTACCCGCGCCTTCTCAGCAGCAGGGGTGCTTCTAAGGAGCCTTCCCCCATCCCCCTACCCCCCTCTGCACATGGCCGATCCTTGGCCTCATGGAGAGCGCCGCGACGCGGCGGCGACGCAAAACGGCTGGCGGCCGCCCGTGCCGCAGGCGCTGCGGCCGCCCTCCGTGCCCCCAGCGCCGCTGGCGCCGCAGGCGACGGTCGCCTTCCCGGCCCCGGGGTTGCCGCGCGCCGCGGTCGCCGCGGGAGGCGCCTCTGCTGCCGGCGCCGAGGCTGCTGCGGGCGCCGCGGGCGCCACGGGCACTTCTGGCGGCGCGGATGCCGCGCGCGCCACCCGCGCCGCGCGTGCTGCCGTTGCTGCTGGCGCGACCGGCGCCGATGGCGCTGGAAGCTGGCCCTGCCCCCCGGGCGCCATGCCCGCCGCGGTCGCCGCGGTCGCCGCGGCCGACGCTGCCGTGGCTACGGCCGCCGCTGCGCTCTGGCCAGCAGCAGCCGCCCTCGTCCGCGAGGCTGCCGCGGCCGCCAGGCATGTTGCGGCCGCGGCCGCTCGTCTTCCCACGCTGGATGCCGAAACTCCGGCATCACCACTGGGAAGTTGCGCGATCAGCGATCAGCTACAATGCGGAGATCAGCGAACGGGAAGGTGACGGGCAGTGGCAACGAGCGGGTCCACATCCTTCGCCTCGCCCTGCACCCAGCGGGTCGCTGAGCACTGCGCCTCGCCCCGCGCCCAGCCCGACGCCCCGTCTTTCGCCCATCGCCCAATCCGACGCTCCCCCAGGCCCTCGGCCTGGAGCCCAGCCCCACACTCCACCCGCTATCACCCATGGTTATGACGTGTGGTCGCTCCCCATCCAACATGTTGAAGGCTCAACCGATACGGGTTTGATGCATTACGCTCCTCACGTTGTTTTCTCCCATGCTGAACCGGCTCTCAATCTGGCCTTGTCTCTGATTCACACCTGGATCCGGCTGTTCGCCGCCATGGTGACACGAATGTGAGTTTCTCGTCTCCTATCGTCGAAACCGCACCCGATTACCCAGACCGAAGAAGTGGCGCGCTCGCTAATGCCCGATCGCCCGGTCCCGACCGAACGCGCTCCCGAAGGAATCCGATCGAAGCCTGGACCCTACTGCCTCCCACGGCGCCCTTCGATCCGCTGGGAGAGAAGCGAAGCTGGACTGTCGGGGTTCGAGCCTGGCGAGGGCGGTGTTGGAAGTGGAACCTGACGCGATTAGCGGCAGCTCTGACACCAGCCGAGTGCGAGAATAGGAAGCAATGGCAGCGGGCCATGCCGCTGCTCATGGAGATGCCTGCGCTAGTACCATCGCCGGCATAGCTTGGAGCGCCAGCGCCAGCATCCTCGCCAGTGCAGACAGGCGCACTGACGACAGCCCCCTCGCCGACACAGCTGAGAGCACCGCCGCCAGCATACTCTTCCACACAGCCGGGATCGCCGACGCCAGCATCCTCGCCAGCACAGCCGAGAGCACCGACGCCAGGACCTTCGCCACTGCTGCTAGGAGCACCAAGGACAGCATCCACGCCAACATGGCCGAGAGCACCGACGCAAGCAGCCTTGTCAGGACAGCCTGGACCACTGTTGCCTGCATCATCGCCTGCACAGCGGGGAGTACCGACGCCCGTATCCCCGCCAGCGCAGCGGGGAGCACCGGCGCCAGCAACCCCACCAGCTCAAGCGAGACCGACGCAAGCATACTCGGCAGCACAGCCCAGATCACCGACCCCAGCATCCCTGGTCGCACAGCCGGGACCTCCGTCGTCAGCATCCTCGCCCGCACACCTGGGAGCACCGACACTAGCATCATCGTCAGCACAGCCTGAACCACTGGCGCCTGCATCCCCCCCAGCACAGCGGGGAGCACCGACGCCAGCATCCCCGCCAGCGTAGCGGGGAGCAGCGGCACCAACCTCGCCAGCTCAAGCGAGACCGACTCCAACATTCTCGGCAACCTCAACATCCCTGCCAGTACAGCCGGGACCTCCGTCGTCAGCATCCTTGCCCGCACACCTGGGAGCACCGACGTCAGCATCGTCGTCAGCACAGCCAGGAACACTGACGGCAGCATCGTCGCCGGCACAACCGAGATCAACGACGCCGTGCATCCTGGCCTCTACAGTGCGGATCACTGGCGCCAGCATCCTCACCAGCGCAGACGGGATTAACGACCCTAACATCCTCGCCCAGCAAACTGCAGATCACCGACGCCAACATCCTCACCAACACAACTGGGATCCACGTCCCCAGCATCTGGCTCCACGTTCCCAGCATCCTCGCCGGCTCAGTGCGGGCCACCGACGCCAACATCCTCACCAGCAAAACTGGGATCACCGACGCCAGCATCCTGGCCAGCACAATGCGGATGATCGACACCAACATCCATACCAACACAACCAGGGATCCACGTCCTCAGCCAACCGGGGATCCACCTCCTCAGCATTCTCGCCAGCTCGGTGCGAACCACCGACACCAGCGTACTCACCAGCATAATCGGGATCCACGTTCCCAACATCCTCGCCAGCTCTGTGCGGACCGCCGACACCAGCATCCTCACCAGATCAACTAGGATCACCGACGCCAGCATCCTGGCCAGCACAGTGCGGATCACCGACGCCAGCCTCCTCACCAGCACAGGCGGGATCAACGACCCCAACATCATAGCCAGCACGATGCGGATCATCGACACCAACATTCTCCTCAACACAATCGGGATCCACGTCCCCAGCATCCTGGCTGGCACAGATCAGATCACCGACTCCAGCATCCTCAACAGCACAGACGGGATCAACGACCCCAACAATATATCCAACACATTGCGGATCACCGACGCCAACATCCTCACAAACACAACTGGGATCCACGTTCGTGGTATCATGGCTTCCAGTGCGAATCACAGGCGCTAGCATCCTTACCAGCACAGTGCGGATATACGACCCCAAAACCCTGGCCAACATAGTGCGGATCACCGACGCCAGCATCCGCATCAACTCAACCGGGATCAACGACCCCAATACCCACGCCAACACAATGCGGATTAGCAACGCCAACATCCTCACCAGCACAGCTGGGATCCACGACACCTGCGTCCTCGTCAGCACTGTGCGGACCACCGACGTCAGCATCTTCGCCAGCAAGCGGGGCCAACAACACCAGCAACCTGGCCTGCACCGTTCGGATCGCCAACTCATTGCGGAACAGCAGCCTAGACGGGATCGACGACGCCAGCATCCTGCATAGCACAGTGTGGATCACCGACGGAAATATCGTCACAAGCACAGACTGGATCAGCGACCCCTGCATCTTGGCCAGCACAATGCGGATCACCGACGCCAGCATCCTCCTAAACACAACCGGGATTCACGTCCCCGCCAGCACATTGCGGATCACCGACGCTGGCACACTCACCAGCTCAGCTGAGATCACAAATGCCAGGATTCTGGTCAACTCAGTGCGGATCATCAGCGCCAGTATGCTCACTAACACAAGCGGCAACAACAATCTCAACATCAAAGCCAACACATTGCGGTTCACCGACTCCTGTTTTTCACCAGCACAACGTTGATCCACGGCCCTGGCATCCTCGCCACCACAGTGCGGATCACCGACGCCGGCATCCTCACCAGCACACCCAGGATCAGCGACCCCAGCACCCTTGCCAGCCCAGTGCGGATCACCGACGCTACCATCCTGACCAGTGCTGATCACCGAAGCCAGCATCCTCACCAGCGAAGTGCGAATTAACGACATCAGACATCAGCATCCTCGCCAGCACAGCCTGGACCTCCGTCCGCAGCATCCTCGTCCGCCCGCCAGGGAACGCCGACGTCAACATCCCCGCCAGCACAGCCAGCAACATCGATGCCAGCATCGTTTTAGCGCATGCGAGAAGTGCAGGATGAGGAGGGGGAGTCGCAGGAGATCGGCGACAAGATTGGCGGTGTCACGGCTGGGCTCGCTTTGAAATCCAGGTTCGAGTTAGAGCGAGCCTTGGGACCCCCCAGGGACGCATGCTCAAGGCCCCACCACGGGGGCCACCTATTGCCGCCGTGGTGTTGAAGGTACCGCTCACCCTGACGCGCTCTCACATTG